CCCAGGGGTGGGTAGGAAAATCCGAGCTTCCAAAGCAATAAGAGCTGAGGCATAGACAGGTTGTGTTAGAATCAAGAATTTGCAGATCGTCTTCAAAGAAACCTGAGGTAGGAAAAAAGGTAAACGGTGGACACTGATCTACGAGGACAAATGCACTGACTTGTACATCAGCTGCCAAGCCATTTGCAGGTTACACACGTACGCCATTACGATTCTGAATAGAAGTCAAATGCGTGGGAGCATTCTCAGACTGGATTGATCAACCCTAGAAGGCTTTATCCATTAACTCGGATTTTCCAATCCACCCCTCGGACTATACCCCCCTGAAACTAATTTCTTTTGGCTGATACCTTCTAGAACGAGATACTTGCAGAAAGTAATCATTTCAACATGAAACAATTCTGGAATTACAGGGTGGGCCAAAATTATGATTACAGCGCGCGCTGACGTTCATTGCAAAATTTTTCTGAGTTCATAACAATTCATTGAACTCCTTCCATTTCACAGAGTAGCTTACGTTATTACCTTCCTGATGACACTAAACTTTGAGTAGATTTTTTACATAATATAAGCGTAACTAGTCCGTGAATTAAACGTAGCTTTGCATTTACAAACACTTTTGGCACGGTGCATCTACAGACGAACTAGCGAAACAAGGCACGTATTGCATTCAACCATAAGACGCTCTCGAGAGTGGGGAACAATTGCAGATAGGAGTGGTGAACCTAGGAGAGCTGTGGTTATATTTAGGGGAAGTGTTATGGAAGCAGGGCAAAGGTCTACGTAGGAGCAAAATTCATTCTGAGTCCAAAAAGNCATAATATAAGCGTAACTAGTCCGTGAATTAAACGTAGCTTTGCATTTACAATCACTTTTGGCACGGTGCACCTCCAGACGAACTAGCGAAACAAGGCAGGTATTGCATTCAATCATAAGACGCTCTCGAGAGTTGGGAACAATTGCAGATAGGAGTGGTGAACCTAGGAGAGCTGTGGTTGTATTTAGGGAAAGTGTCAAGAAAACAGGGCAAAGGTCTACGTAGGAGCAAAATTCATTCTGAGTCCAAAAAGGATAAATGAAAGGATATGTCACGAAATTTTCTGCGTGAAATCGTGAAGCATTCCCTGCACAACGAGAACGTTATACGATCAGAAAGTGATTTTCCAAGAGAGCAGGTTAAAGAGAAGAGAAAGGTTGGCTAACAAAAGCTGCCTGTCGCATCCGAAAAAATTGTCCTACGGAATTCCTGTTCACCGACGAGAACAGATTCACAGTGAAATAGGTGCTCAATAAGTAGAGCGATAACATTTATAGGAAGCTTAAAGAAATAAAAGTGATACAGCGCCTGGCTCACTAATTTTCTGTGATGGCCTGTACCAGCATCACCGCCGGGGCAAGAACACCGATTATTTTTGTAAATTATGGAGTGGAAGTTGGTTTGAAGGCCTGTTTGATCTCTTCGTGCGCAATAGGACACTTTGGTGATTCGAACCGGTCATATTGTCACGATGAAGCTCCTGACCGCAGAACAGAAATTGTCTAGAAATTTCGTGAAAGGGGTTTTTTGACTTCATAACCTTCGATCAGTGACCACTCTGGAGCCCTGACTCAAATCCCATGAATGTCTCAATGTGGTCAGCCTCTGAGATGAAAGCATCCTTTAGCCCAAACAAGAGAAGAAATACTCGCGAAAATGCTTAGCAAAAAGTCGAGACCATTTCGATGACCCTAGCTGCGTGCCACCGTCAACGCCGTCCATCGTCGTCTTTGGGGTTGGGTGAAAGCAGAAAGCAACAGATCCTAGTCTCAATGTACAGTTTTGATAAGAAATTTGTGCTAAACCCTTCAATGAAATTGGTTTGTTCTATTGGCTTTCTATTCGTTTTCTACGATGTGATTTCTGTGTAATCATAATTTTGGCCCACCCTGTATATTCAAGTATGGAACAACAACACAACCACCGGATTCAGACTTCTCCATCGAACTATCCCTACCGGATTTCTTTCACTCCCTTTAGACATGCAAACAACTCTTCTTACACTAGCTCACTATCCTTTTACTCCTTATTACCGCCCTATCATTCAGTTGTAATCTTCTTTCCTAAAACACCACGAGAACAAGGAAAAATTTTATCATTCATATTCTCGCAACATCATTCCCCTCTAAGAATACATCATTGAAACACAATAGAACCACTGTTACTAGAACCAGCATAAGAACGAAAAATTAATATTGGATGCTTAGGTTAGATGCCTGTAGACCTAAAGAAATTCACTCCACGATATTACAACAAAATCAACCATTTAAAAGCGCTTCAATCCTTCTAATCAACATCATTTCCACAATGTCTTCTGTCGA